CCCCAAAACCCCAAAACCCCAAAACCCCATTTAAGAGTGAACATATCGAATAATATATAAAAGTTAAAAGATATCCAAATGAACCAATTCAGAGAGATTAGTTTTTCCAGTCTAGCAAAATTATCTGAAAGAGAAAGCGAGATTAATGAGAGTGAAAGCATCCCAGAATCATTAAAGCAAGACCTAAAGCCTATTATAAAGGAACTAAATGGAATAGAAACATGATGTAAACATCTTAAGGAATTTGTGCAACACAAAGATCAAGATGAGGCTACATATGAACAGAAACAGCAGGTTACTGAGTTTATTGATGAGATAATATCCAGATGCAATAATCTCAACAATAGAATAACAAGGAGAACTACATTTTATGAATGAAACAGAGTCTTGCAAAAAATCATTGAAGATTTAGAAGAGAATCAACAATGTCAAAAATTTGGATTCAAATAAGTTATTGGCTTTTTATCTCGAGAATAAATATGAAGAAGTACCCGAGCTTAAAGAGAAAAATAGAGACAAAAAACATAAAATTATAAACCTTAGAGAAACGTTAAAAGCTTCATATAAAATGCTTGGAGAAATTAATGAAAACAATTTTAAAGACAAAGTTAGATGAATTAAAAACCTGATGAAATAAACAGCAACAAAGAGGACCTTCAATGACTGGAGGGCGTACTGACCCTGTGAATGGTAAGAGAAATAATTTTGATTAATTAACTTTCCTCAGATTCTAAAATCCGATATGCCTCCTCCTCAAAGTTCCCAAATACAGTATCTAAAACATCAGAAAAGAGAAGAAAAATAAAAGAACATGTCAAGTTTGAAGAAGAAAAAGATGCAAATATGAGCAGTTATGATATGAGTATTCAGAAGAGAGAAAACTCGTCAAAATTAGCAACAAACCACTCAGCTTCAATAAGAAAAGAAAATCCGAGTCATCCTAAAGAATTACCGCATCCATCTAATTCATCACAAAATATCAAGAACAACATCGAAGAATCAACAGAAGAAGAATATTATTCCTGCACAAGCTCTTCAAATGAAAAGTAAGACTTATAATTGTTTTGCTTAAAAACTCAACTGTGGACCTCTGAGTTGGCCAAATATATAGTGAAGAGAATCCAAACGTATATACTACAAATGAAAATCAAAGTATTTCTGCATCTTCTTTTTCTTCGAAAGTATTTTCAAAAATAAGATATTTAGAATGAAATGAAAAATAAATCAAATTTTGATATACCAGAAATATCTGGAGAGTCAATCTCCAGAGGTAATGCTTCAGTTTCTCTCCGCATGTCTGATCCTGAGCATCAAGAATATTTCAGAACTTGAGATAAGCAATTACCAGATCTAAGATACTGAGAGCTACAGTTGAGCAATGAAGAGAACGAAGATTTTGAGAATTTTGTTCTAACCTATCTTCCAGGAAGGATTGATCATTGCAAGTGGATTGCAGAAGATCTCTCAGGCTATACTCCCATTCTTAGACATTATGAATTAGTAATAATGACAAACTTAAGAGTGCAAAATACCCTAAAAATTGAGAGTTTAAGCTTTACTCAAGAGCAATTAGAAGATATTTTAATCAATAAACCATTTAACGTACCAGAAGTTATATTCTCGTCTTGCTTGTTTTACATTAATGAAGCTGAAGTGATGGCTAATATAATAAAGGATTGCTAAGAAACAACAGAAACAAAGAACTTAAAAATAGAAGAAACCTGCAAATTTAAAATTCTTGATGAAAGCAACCCAAATGGCTCAGAAATCTCTCTGCATGACTTTATGCTCCGTACCCAGCTGCGCTCATATCTTCACCACGCTAAACTCTACTGAAGGCAATATCAGCATGCAAAACATTCCTAAGAGCGCCTGAAATTTTTTAATTCAAATTTTCAATCTCTAAGCTGTCACCTGGGGTTTTGGGGTTTTGGGGTTTTGGGG